GGCGCGGCGCGGCGGGCGTCGAATCGCAAGTCCGGCGGCCCCGGGGCGGGAGCTCACGTTTCTCTCGGGCCCGCCGCCGCCGCCCGCGAAGCCACAGCGGCTTCCGGCCTGCGGCGGGCCAACCGAAGTCCGCGGCCGTCCGCGTCTCGCGTCGACCGGCTCGGGCAAGCATTGCGCCCTGAATGTGCTTTTACGATCGGTTCTCGGTAAGAATAATGAAACCAAGTCAGGGAGGTGGGAAAAAAAGCCTTCAGAAAACGCATCGAGTGGATTCAGTTCATTTTCCAGCCTGTCGGGAGGGATGTCGAGTTTGCCTTAGATCCCTGCAAGCAACATTCTGCTTGCGAAGTCAGGATTAGTCCGTGAAACACTCGCAATCATTAACGTTAAAGGACATTTATTAATTTGACCCTGGCAATGATCAGTCTGCTTGAAAGAGTTAGTAAGTTTACCAGGCACTGAAGGTTTCCTTCAAACTTCGTGGCCCAGTACATATTTTCGTGCTGATATTTAGGGCCTTATTAATAGACAGCTGGCCTCTGTCCATTGCGCAGTCAGATTGTGTTCAGAGCCAACAACATTTATGTCCGTAACTCCTGCACCCTTCGTTTTAATGATAAAGTAATAAAGAAGAGTAGAAACTTCTTTTCTTGCTAGGATGGTTTTTTTTTTAAGTAATAGAAATTCAAAATTATCTGATGAGTACCTACACCATTCTCTGACTTCCCGCATACACCACATCCCCAGAATTTTTCTGCTTTTCTGAAAACCGAGATAGCGTTTATTGAACACGAATGGCTACGTTAAAGATCTGATGTTTGTTTGTTGCAACCCTGAGTCCAGGTTTAAATAGGATATTTGTGCATCCAAAAATTAAAAATTGCAAGAGAGATTACATTAAGTAATGGGGCTAATCATATTTAAAGATTAGGAAGCTGGTGCTGTGTGTGGTCCTTATAAAGAGCCGTCCTAACGTGTGTGAGGCCCAGAGTTCCATTCCCAGTACCACAGAAAAAGGTAAAGATTGAGAAGAAACCTTAGGTGTAGTATACGGCTTTTGTTTCATTGAAGATTATAATTTATAGTTAATTTAGACTTTTATTTAAAGGAAAAGACAGTTTGTGTTTATGCTTATATTGTCAATTTTTTTAAATTACAGACTTCATCGAAGTGCTAGTGGTAGGTTCATTAGTTTTCTAAAGTATTTGGGAGAAAATCTTTTTTAAGCTTCTTAAATACTTTCAATGTTATGCAGGAAATAATTTTGTGATAAGACTGCATACACTGTTAATGCTGTAGTTAACATACACTTAAGTGTATAATTATGTACCAGCACTGTGCTAAATAATAGCATGCAAATATGAATAAAACGATCTTTGTGATTTCTTGAGGATGGAGGATATGAAAATTCAAAATGAAAATCCTATAGTAAAGGTGTCTACAAAGCATAGGAGAGCTAAGCTAGGGAGAACTGCATAGATGAAGGAACACTGGAAGGATGAGTGCTTGTTGGATTGCGGAGCAGATGGGGGTTGCTTTCCAGGCAAAGGGCACCTAATGTTCACTGGGGTGAAAAGTTGAAGCAGCACAGCCCTGTATGTGAACTGAAAGTAACTGGGAGGTGGCCTGAATCTGTGCATCCTGGGAAAAAGGGTGTGGTCTGAGGTGATTCTGACCGGTTTAAGAGGGCCTGCTGCTTTGGGGGTTAAGCTTGAAAACTTGGATCCTTTCCTTAGGAAAATGCCTATGTGATAGTGATAGGTACAGATTATTGGGTGTTTATTGGATAGTTTCTACTTAAGCTCAGAATCCAACTGAATAGTGTAACTAATATAGTATCACTTCTAGCCTTTTTTAATTTTGTTAGCCCTGTAGACAGTAGATTTGAAGGGTCAGAATTGGAGGAAGGAGATACATTGCATGAGCAATTCTTAGGGCTTAAAGTTAGTTGCGGTGAAGATAGGTCTAGAAGAGGATTCTTAAGATGGCTGCCACATTTCTGCTTAGGTTGTAGTGGCCTCCTTGCTTGGGGTAGGGCATTAGACAAAAGAGGAGCAAATATTTGTCCAAGGGCAGTAAAAATATAGAGTGTCTTTAAGATTATCAAACAGTTTTATCATCTGCACAGTTGGATATGTGGACCTAGAGTTTAAAATACTAGCATGAGCTTAGTTAAGCATATAGATCTACAAGCAAAGAAAAGAGGAATCATTGGAAGATGGAGTGTAGTAACATCTCCCGTCACTATTAGAATTTCAAGAGAAGAATACTTAGTAAGGTTAGGAACAATGGACAACTTCAGTCAAATAAAGACTAGAATGTGTCCCTTGGTTTTGGTAGTCAGGAGCCTGTTGGTGGCTTTAGAAAGAAAGAGCAGTTCCATGCCCCAGTCAGATGAGAAGCCACATTGAAGTAGGCTAAGTCACTCTGGCAAGATAACGAAGACAGAGGGTATCCAAAATTTGTGAGGATGGGACAGCATTTAGAGGTATAAAAAAAAGAGTAATTCAGCTTACAACTCAATTGCTTGAATGTTTTTTGTGGAGACAACCATTGTATTTGTATGCAGCAAAAGTCTTTACACTTTCCATTTCATCACACAAAACATTAAGTATGTCACATTTAATAAAAAATAATTTAACGCTTCATTACAGACATTTTTAAGTCAGCCTTTTTTAAACTGCTAGTGTGTGGCAATGAAATACAGCATTTGCTTAACCAAGGTAAATGTCAACACAGTGGAAGTAAATACTGCCATAGTATTCATATGCAAATGTTTTATTTTTGTGGATTTCTGAGTTTTGGGAGCTCTAAGGAGTCTGTAGTTTGTTACTGTTTTAATATAAAAGAGACATTAATGAGGATCAGAAACAGGATAAGAATGGCTATTTACATACTGTCTGAACTTACTGCTTACCTACAGCAGAGTACTAAGGAAAGGGCAGAAAGAGAAATAGCAACCTAGAACTAAAACTTGGACCAGTTTTCTTGCTAGCTAAAGGTCTAGGTTTATGATAACGCAAATATTTTCATATGTTGGTGATTTGGGACCTTCCATCAAACAGCGTGGTGAGCTAGGGAACTCAAGGCCTAGTAGAAATGATTGTACAATTACTAGACAGAAATGGAAAGAGGAAAAATATCAAGTTGAGTCTGTATCAAATGCCCAAAAACACATGAAAGAAACTAAATTTTTTGTAAAAGCTTAAAATTTACTATCAGTTTTCCATGACGTGACAGGCAAACTTCAAGATAACCAGCTGGCTTGACAACAATCAACATACTGATTCAACTCTAAAGGACGTGAAAATAATTGAACAGCTTGAAAACTGTTTTAAAATAAATATATTTAGGTTCTTTGGAGATTTACAGTTCCCGTATACAGGGTAACAACTCTTTAAGAATACAGTTGACATAAAGATGTTTTCAATGTATAATGATTAAGAAAGTCTTTCAGCAGAAACATTAATTTACTTTTTGTAAAATTCTTGAGGGTCATAGAACAGGCCTAGCAAACTAAAAGAGTGAAA